CGTGTCCCAACCAGGGCTGGAGATTGAACCTGCAACCCAGGTATATGCCCTTGACCAGGAATCAAACCCAAGACTGCTCTTCCCTGCCAGCCTGATTTGCCCCCAACTGCTTCTGCCTGCCTGATCACCCCAAACTGCCCTCCCCTGCTGGCCTGATCTCGCCCCTAACTGCTCTCCCCTGCCAGCTTGATTGCCCCTAACTGCCTCTGCCTCAGCCCCCACCACCATGGCTTTGTCTGGAAGGAAGTTGGATGTCCGGAAGATGGCCAGTTGACCCGGTCTAGTTAACATATTACCCTTTTATTACTATAGATAGATTATATGGGATAGGATTGCTAAAATGGCTGGGGGGGGGGGAGCCTTTTACAGCAGGAGGAGATGCTCTTGGCAGACAAAAACACATAATCCCTATATCTGGACTGATAGCCAGCCATATGCACTTTACTGCCAAACCGGTCATTAAAAAATTGAACTGCTTTCTAACACCTTACACCAAATAGCTGTTGCCCTTAAAACCCCTCCTCAGCCCCCACCTTGGGGTCTGCCTTTGTAGTTCATCCCGATTAGGTTCTGATTGGTCAGTTTCTATGCCAGTGAGTGTCTCTGGGCCTGACCAAAGAGGCGGGGCTGATCAACAGCTGCCACTGAGGCTGCAGATCAGACCCTGCCTCTCTCTCTGCACGCCTCTCTCCGGGCCTAATCTGCAGCCCCCTTGGCAGTCAATGCCCCCAGCACTGGCTACAGTCAGTGTTGGGTCACCACGGCAACCCAGCACGGACCCTGGCTCCTTATTTATATAGATGGTGGTTGTAATAGTACCTACCACCTAGGGATGCCTCTATTTGATATGTTTTTATTGATTTTTAGAGAAAGAGGAAGGGAGAGGGAAAGAGAGATAGAAACACTGATGAGAGAGAAACATTGTCAATCAGCTACTTCCTGCACCCCCCTTTTCTGGGGATCACCCTCCCTACTGAGCCTGCAGCCCAGGCATGTACCCTGGCCAGAAATCGAACCGGTGACCTCTTGGTAGCTGGATTGGAGCTCAACTCCTGAGCCATGCCAGCCAGACCTAGGGAGGTTTTGAAAATGAAATGAGAGAATCCACAGAAAGTAGTTAATAGACTGCCCAGTGCACAGTAAGTACTCATGACTAGTATCAGCCTTAATTTCCTCACTCTGAAAATCTGTCTAAACATTTTTAAATTCTGTTTGCAATTACCCCAGAACATTTCTTTCTGTTCTGTGTATAATATGCTCTCTTCCTGTAAAGTACACACACACACACACGCACACAGCACATCAGTGGGCTATTTAAGAGCTCTCTGTCAGGGAGTGTTCGCTGAATAATCCTCTCTCCCTCTTAGGCCAGTGACATGCATTTGGGACACCACACTTTACTGGATTCAGGAAAGAGCCTAGAAGCGATGGATCAGCATGTTCCCAGAGCAGTGCTAATGGGCTGGTTCCAGCTCAATCCTGTGACCTTGGTTTAGGGATCACCGTGAGTGTAGCCACCAGGTCCAAACCAACATTACAACCCAGTAACAGAGATTTCTCGTGAAATAGAAAATCCAAATACGGTTCTGGGACAAAGAGGAAAAAAGAGAAGCGTGCGTGGGAGTTCAGGCAATTCTATTTTCACTCTCTCTCCTTCACCTCCTGTGTCCAGGAATCAGGGATAGCGGACAGGCCAGTGTTCCTCAAAGTGAAACTACACACAAAGCGTTTAACTCACCTCCAGGGAACGGCTGGGAATACTCGAGTCCTGCCCGGGACCCTAAATTCAAAGCAAAGCACATTTTGAAAATTGAAATCAATGCAGGGAACAGGGCTGTAGGAAACATACTCCAACCCCACAGATCTCCTGTCAGGGGCAGCAGGACACAGGGATGCGGATTTATTCTATTTCTGAAGCCTAGCCCTCCTGGTAACCAGGAAGAAGTTAAAAAGAAAAGAAGAAGAAGAAGAAGAAGAAGAAGAAGAAGAAGAAGAAGGAGGAGGAGGAGGAGGAGGAGGAGGAGGAGGAGGAGGAGGAGGGGAAGGAGGGTAGCTGTTCCCTCTTAGACAATTCCACTGAAAGTTAAGAAATTCCTGTAAGACGCACAGTGGGGAGCTGACCATTACTCCCAGTTTCAGGGTGATGCATAGAAGAATCATCCCATTTTATGCTCTGCCCCATCGAAATCCCAGCCATTCTCCTTTACCTAATGGACATTGAGCCAAAATGAAGAAAAAGACAAAGACAAAACACAGCATCTTCCTGCTCGGGGCCATTGCTGGCAGAAGAGTGTCTCCACATCTTTGAGGGGACAGGAGGCCCACTTATATCCGAGAACCAAGCGCCCTGCTCTTGGGCAGTGAAGTGAATCAACAAAGAGAGCACAGGGACATGCTCCATTTCCCCGGTTCAAGAGCAGACAGGATGGGGGACAGCCCTCAGCCTCCATCAAGCATTCTGCTCCGTGGAAAGAGCAGCAGGCGGGCGTTGAAGCCCAGGGTCTCACACAGCTGTGCCCAGGACGGGGAGTCAGTTCCTCCTCCATCAAACGGGAACCGGCTGCATCACGGAGAGAGAACAGGGGTCTCCCACCGGCCTCTCCAGGTGCTGGAGGCTCTGTGTGGTGATGTTCTGGACACTGGGATGCTCACAGGAGACCTAGTCTGAGCTCAGCAGGGTGGGCCAGCACTGTCCTGGCTCCCATTGTATTGTCTGTAAATGACCCAGGAGGAAGGGGGGAAGGCAGTCAAGTTAGCACCCAATCCCTGAGCCTGTAACAATGTCACCCAGCAGGTCCGAGTCATGGTTACCACGTCCTGGGAATTCATGAAGGAGGTGGGAGTCAGAAGTTGTCTTCCTGTCACTGCAGCCAAGTCAGCCCACCCTGTTGTCTCTGCCCAAGTGATGCTCTGTCCTTCGTTTCTGGAACAGACAACAGGACTATCTGCCAATGCAGGCTCTGATGACAGACAGATTGAGTTTTTAAAGAGATGACCTTGAACAGGTCGCTTAATTTTTTTGAACTTCACATTCCTTATCCTTAAAATGAGGATGTAGTCGTGGTAGGTCCTCGCAGGACACTGGAGAGAATGACCTGAAATAAGGGATGGAAAGTCTTATCTGAGTGCCTGGCTGTGGTGATTGGTACGACCTCCACTCTTCGCTCTACCCAGCTTGGCGCCAGCTTCTCCGGAAGCGCTTTTTCAGGGCCATCGTTCACGAGGGACTCTCCCGGCCAGAGAACGCGCCAGCGCTGATGGCTGTGTGCTTGTCCCCAGGCCTTGGTAGGTCACCGTCAGGAAGACACACTCATGTGTGTGGGGACAGGGCTAGAGGGGAGCCTACTGCCTTGCAGCATTTGGGCATTTTACTAACCGGGCCAGGCCACACTGCCTCCGGGAGAGTTAGGGGGCTATTGTGAGCGCTCAGACACCTCCAATGCTTCTGCCCCCAACCCCCAATTCTAATGTGGAAACCCTAACTCCCAAGCCAATGGTGTTAGGAGGTGGGGCCTTTGGGAGGCGATTGGGTGCTAATTCCTCATGAATGGGATGCGAGCGATGCCTTCCTACAAGGGACTCCAGAGAGACCCTGCCCCTTCCAGCGGGAAGACATGGAGAAGTGCCCAGGCAGAGGGTCCTCACCAAAGCCCACCGCTGGCTCCCTGGTCCTGCACCTCTGGCCTCCAGAACGGGAGACATGAATGTTCGGTGTTTACAAACCACACCCAGAATGTGGTATTTGGCCACAGCAGCCGAAACGGACCGGCACTGTGCATCCGGTTGGGAAGAGAAGCTGGGGAGCTAACACGAAGCGGTGGGTCCCCTGCCGGGTGGACCCTCCCTCGCTCCAGGCAGTCCCACAAGGACCCCACCTTCTCCCCTTCACCTGCTGACAAAGACCCGCCTCAGAAAGGCCCAAACAACGAGATCGTGGGGTGATCAATGAGGTGACGGAAACCATTTGTCACAGAGACTCTGAAAGTTTGTCTTTTCTTGTAGACTTAAATTTTTTTAAGTGATGTTTGGAAGAGAATAGAGAAAATTTGCATTTTCAATCATTCTTAACTGGATTATTCATAATTTATAATGAATATGCACAAAAAATACCTAAAAATATCATAGTGACCAAGGCTGAGGATAGATGGGGCATTCCCTAATAGTCTTTTTAAGGAAGAATCTTCAGTTACTGAAAAATTTCAAAGATTGTACCGTATCCTCCCCCACCCACCCCTAATGTATCCATGTTAGTAATTACTAATGTTAATAACCATGGCACCTGTTCTTAAATAAGATTTAGGCCGAAACCGGTTTGGCTCAGTGGATAGAGTGTCGGCCTGCGGACTGAAAGGTCCCAGGTTCGATTCCGGTCAAGGGCATGTACCTGGGATGCGGGCACATCCCCAGTAGGAGATGTGCAGGAGGCAGCTGATCAATGTTTCTCTCTCATCGATGTTTCTAACTCTCTATCTCTCTCCCTTCCTCTCTGTAGAAAATCAATAAAATATATTTAAAAAAAAGATTTAGAAGACTATTTATGTACATATTTAACGATGAAAGTACTACACACACACACACACACACACACACACACATATGAAATGTCAATCAAGAACCCCGTAAGCTCATAACTATCCAGGGAGTTAAGAATTTACTCTGATACATGTGGCACTTAAAGTGTGCGACATACAGGAAGTCAAATTTTTTTAATTGATTTCAGAGAGGAAGGAAGAGGGAGAGAGAGAAACATCAATGATGACAGAATCATTGATCAGTTGCCTCCTGCATGCCCCAAACTGAGGATCGAGCCCGCAACCCAAGCATGTGTCCTGACCAGGAATCAAAGCGTTCATAGGTCGACACTCAACCACTGAACCACACAGCCAGGCAAGAAGAGTCACATCTACATTAATAAAAGAGAAATATGTAAATTGACCATCTCTTCACAACACCCACCAGCCAATCAGGAGTGAGTATTCAAATTAGCAGGACAAAGATGGCGGTGGCCACGGAGCCAGCCTGAGAAGGTGGGAGTCTTGGGTCACCCCTGGCGATGGAGGAAGCCAAGCTTCTTGCCCTCCTGGGCCAGCCGCCGAAGGAGGGGCCTGTGGGCGGCAGCCAAGGAGCCAGCCCAAGTGCACGGGAGGCTTGGGTCCACTGGGCCGGCCACCAAGGGAAAGGCCTGCAAACGGCCCTCAGCCCCTCTCTCAGGCTGGCCACGCCACCATCAAGGTGTGGGTCCCTGCTGGGGAGCGTGGCCAGCCTGCAAACAGCCATCAACCCCTCACCCAAGCTGGCCACACCCCCCAGCGGGGACCCTTACCCCATGGGGGCATGGCTGGCCTGCAAACCACCACAGGCCCCTTGCCCAGGCCACCCCACCCCCCAAGGGAACCCCCATCCTGATCTGGGACACCCTTCAGGGATAACCAGCTGGCCCCCACCCATGCACCAGGCCTCTCTATCTATACTAATAAAAGGGTAATATGCTAATTAGACAGGGAGACCTTCCAGGAGACTTTCCGGACGTTTTTCTGGACAAAGCCATGGTGGCAGGGCCGAGGTAGAGGTGGTTAGGGGCCAAGAGGGGAGGGCAGTTGTGGGTGATTAGGGGCCAAGAGGGGAGGGCAGTTGTGTGTGATCAGGCCAGCAAGGGGGGCAGTTGGGGTGAGCAGGCCAGCAGGCAGAGTGGTTAGGGGCAATCAGACAGGCAGGCAGGTGAGCGGTTAGGAGCCAGCAGTCCCGTATTGCAGGAGGGATGTCTGACTGCCAACAGTTGGACATCCCTCGAGGGGTCCCAGATTGGAGAGGGTGCAGGCTGGGCTGAGGGATGGCCCCCACCCCATGAATTTTGTTCACCAGGCCACGCCACTAGTTTTAAAATAAATGGTGAACCCAGGGGTTGAGCACCAACCAATGAATCATGAGGCCACGATTCAATGCCTGGGTTTTGGACTCAATCCCCAGTGTGGGGCGTGCAGGAGGCAGCCGATCAATGATTTGCTTCATTGATGTTTCTATCTCTCTCCCTCTCCCTTCCTCTCTGAAATTAATTTAAAAATGTATTTAAAAAGATAAATGGTGACGGGTGTGCCCCATGAAGCTATGTGCCGAGTGTGCGCGGCTCATAGATCCTGGAGCGGGAGCCCAGTCGCCTCTGGGCTTGGCACCAGCTCTGCCCGGCACACTGGGACATCGCCCAGGTCCTGTCGGTGCACAGGGGAGCAGACCGAGGCTGTCATGGAGCGCCGGCAGGGTTAGAGACGCCAGCTGACACACGTCTGTGCTGGGTCCTCAGTGCACACCTGCTCTGCCCTCCCGACATCCCGTGTTCTTCTTGGGAACTTTCCAGAGTAAAAACAGCACCCGGAGGAGCCGCAGGCTGACACCCACCGAGGTACGTGGACTCGGTGCAGCCGAGCACAGAGATAGTTCTTCATGCCTCAGCGATCAAGATCGGGTTTGGTCTGGGAAAACGCATAAATGGGGGTATTTGCTTCATTTTTCATGGACGCCGAGCTGGTCTCTCCAGACCCCGAAAGTCATGAAGACGACCCTCTTTCTCCTCGCTGTTTTCCTCCTCCTGGCCCCAGGTAACAGGAGCCCCTTTGCAAGGTGGGCATTGGAGGGGGTGGACCGGAGACAGGGCCTGCCTCGGGGAGGACGTGGCCAAGGTCAACTCCGGGAAACAAGGGCGCCCTGGGCCCCATGGCCCTGCGGGGACCACTGGCTCCAGGAGGTGGCAGGCCCCTCGTGCCTCTTCTACAAACGCTTCCCCTTTTCCATTACTGTCTGGGACAGGGTGTCACAGGTTTGCAGAAACACAGATAAGCCAGAAAAGGTGCCCCTGGACCCCTAGTCTCATGCTCACTGGCCAAAAGAAAAATTTGCAAAAAGAAAGAAAAGCAAGGGTAACCATCTATGGGTCTTTTAAAACATAGCTGTGATAGAGAGGAAGACGGGTAATAAAGGAAGAGCTGGAAATCAATAGGAATGGAGCTTAGAGGCGCTATTCGTGCCAGTGGGTGAGAGTCAAACCAGCTGCCATGCCCAAAACACAAGCTATGCAGCTGGAGAGTGGGACAACTCCACATGCTGACATGCATTTAGCTCTGCAATGCCGGTGCCTTCCGGGAACTCTGCCCGGCCCTAACTCAGGGACATTCTGAGCATCTCTTTTGCTTGGGAAGGACCATTTGACATCTCTTTTGAGAGTGCAGACAGGGAGGTTCAGGGGGGCTAAGCAGGTGCTGAGCCCTGCAGGTGCACAGGGGTGAGCCAGGCTCCAAGACCAGCTCTGTCCACAGCAAAAGGACTTTTCCTTCCCAACCAGAACTCTCGCCACTGTTTCCTGCTCCTGGAAACCTCCACTGGCTCTAGTCCAATCCTCCCCAAAATTAAAGTCTAAGACTAGACTCACCCCGGGTTTCAGAGACCAAAGGAGGAGCTTTGCAGAATTCACAGTGAGCCCAGGTGCACCCCAGATGCCAGGAGAGTTGCAATCACTCTAAGGAAGTAGATTCTGGGTCAAGGACATGGGGATGGTGCCTCCAGTGAGCCATTCATTCCACTGGCTTTGACGCACACACCGGACACGGACCAAGGTATCATTTTCAGATCACTCCTGAAGATTGTATGATAAAGTGTTCTGAGTACATGAACGTTTGCTATGAATGTGTCTTGGGTGCTCACACCTGCACAAACAGAGTTGCATGAGCCTCTAGATGGGCGTCTCTGAGAATTCACAGGAGCCTGTGGTCACCAATGCTCTTCCTCTTCCCAGAGGCCTCTCTTCCTGGACCATCACTGGGAGTTGAACCCAATGCAAGGGCTGTTGTCAGAGTGAGGGCCAGCACCCTAGCCTGAGACGCCTTCAAAACAGGAGGACGGAGAGCAAAGACCCCTTCCGTGGGAGCCACAGTTCCCTGGTCCTTCAAATGCAGGGTGTTTATCCGTATGAGCTTCTATGCTATGAGAGGCAGGACCAGAGCACGCCGGGCACCCATCCCTCTTGTTAGTGCATGTCCATGCGTATGTTGACATTCATTCCAATCTGTGTCCATCCGACTCTTTCATTGCAAATATCCAAATTAGCCAACTCTACAGTGTGGGTCCTGATGTGCTGTCTGTCCTTAACTTGAAGCTGGATGCTCTATGGGTGCTACTGATCCAGGCCTCAGGCGAGGACCAGGCCCCCGGGAAGACTAGCAAAGGGAAGGAGTGGGGAGCACCCCACCCCACTCCCCTTCCTGGTCTTGAACGCAGGGGTGGATGTGGAGGATAAATCAGACTGACTCTTTCTAAGCAGTCTCTTCACCTCAGCACACTTCTTTCTTCTACATATTTATTCGGTTTTCACCCCAGTCTCGGCCATTCCCCAAACTCAGGCTGGGCTCTGGGCTCTCCTCTCTCCTCTCGTAGCACTTGGAGTGTGTGGGGGAAGTTACTGACTGCATGTGTTTATAGGAACAAGCTGATAATGGCTAGCGTGGCTCAGTGGTTGAGCATCAGCCTATGAACCAAGAGGTCACAGTTCGAATCCCGGTCAGGGCACATGCCCGGGTTGCAGACTCAATTCCCAGTGGGGGGCGTGTAGGAGATAGCCAATCCATGATTCTCTCTCATCATTGATGTTTCTATCTCTCCCTCCGTCTTCCTTCCTCTCTGAAATCAATAAAAAGTATTCTTTAAAAACTTCTAAAAAAAAACCACAACCCAACAGATTTTGATAAGAGAACAATAGTGTCTGTTTCCCAAAGCCCCCGACACTGGGAGCCAACTCTGTCCTTCCTGTTCTGAGACCAGATAGAAACCATTTCCCCTGCCCTCTCGTGGTAGGAGAGGCACCAACTCGGACAGAATCTTCACCAACTGGTTCCCTCCCTGGCTGTGCCTGGTAACCAGATGTGGCCGAGACGAGAACTAATCCTGGTGGCCCTTCCCTTGTGTAGCCAGGAATGCGTTTTTTGATCAGAAATGCCTCAAGCTTAAAGGGAGATGCGTGAAATCTTGTCAGAAAAATGAAGAGCTGGTTGCTCTCTGTCAGAGGGCTCTGAAATGCTGCCTCGTCCTCCAGCCATGTTCCAACAGTGAAAAGGAGGATTCCATCAGGAAGAAGACTCCCAGGACCACCGAGGCGGGCCTAACTACAACTTCTTTCACGTCTCTCCCACCTCTCCCATCTTTCCCATCTGTCTCACCTCCCCCATCTCTCCCATCTGTCTCACCTCCCCCATCTGTCTCACCTCCCCCATCTGTCTCACCTCTCCCACCTCCCCCATCTGCCTCACCTCTCCCATCGAGTACGCCTTGAGACGTTGCAATAAAAACGAGTGGCTGGCTTTCAGTAACGTGTCACATGCTTTGACTGGATAAGGAACATGAGTACCTACCTTGACTGCCCCCCGATTCTTTTTCTGGGGTTCTGTTGCTGTTGTTTTGTTTTGGTAAGGGAACTGTCCCGAAGCCATCTGATATTTCTTTTAAAGGGGGACTCCTGGAGTCTATAAATAAACAGACCTCTAGCTTCCTCTCAGGCAGTCAGCCCCAAGCAACCTGCTGAGATAGATAGACTATGATGAGAGAGAGAGAGAGAGAGAGAGAGAGAGAGAGAGAGAGAGAGAGAGATGGAGGCATAGTCATAGAGGTAGACAAAGACATAGACATAAATACAGATATAGACAGATGAATAGTTAACAAAATAAATATAGATCAGCATGGATAATTATATTAATAATAAATAGATAGATGGAGAACCTACTTACCAAAACATCTCATGTGTCACACACGTGTTGAGATTAATTTCTTGACTCCATGACTTTAATTGGAGACATTGAATTACTGCCTACGCATTTGTTCTGCATCCATAAGTCTGGATTCAAATTTGCTGATGGGCAACTAGCTAAAATAAAACACTTATTTTTTTTCCTCCCTGCATTATTCTTCAAGAATTAGGAAACTATTATTTTTTCTTATTCTTATGTCAACACTAGTGGCCCGGTGCATGAACTCGTGCACACTGAAAGGAAATTAATTAGAATATTTGAATATCGCTATTTGCCCTTTATAATAGAAGTGTCAACCAAATTCACCATCAACAAGGACAGATCAAAACACACCTGTGCCATTGGTGCCACTGAGAGCTTTATATATATAGGTAATTATTTGTGTAAGATCAATAAGTATGTTATCCTTGTAACAAGACACAATTGGAAACACTGGTTATGTGACCACGGCCATGACTGGAATGTCATCTTTGCACCTAGAATCCATTTAAGGAACTGAGTTGACTTTATGGAGCCAGGTCCCTGGCTAACAGGCTTCCCCGCCTTATAGCTGTGGTGCATGTTGGCAGGCCCGGCACCCGGGGGGACTTGGGGACCTCAAACATTCTCTATGTCATTTCAGTCTTTCCCCCACAAAACCTGCTCCAATGTCTGGCCTCTGATCCTCGGGTGCAATTGCTCACACTGACTGACTGTGTTATTTCAGTGAGAGGTGACCTTGACGCAGACAAGATATGTGGCTATGGGACTGCTCGCTGCCGGTGGAATTGTAAGAGACAGGAATTCAAAATTGGAGTCTGCCCAACACTAACCCGTTCTGTTTGAAAGGACGGATGGCACCTCATTGAATCCTGTGAAATGCCCAAGCCCCCTGGGGCCTGGTCCCTAGACGTGCCAACGGCCAGACCTCAGAGCCTCCCCTTTTTGAGAGCTGACAGACAGAAAGTCCAGGCGCAGCCCCTGAGCTGGACATTACAGGAGGGTTTGCTGAGAGGCAGAGTGGAGGCAGCAGAGCAGCAGACGGCAGGGCCTTGGCCTCCGGGCCCCCGACGGCCCTCTCTGCTGTGAAAGGGAGTGCAGCAATGCAGGTTAACTGAGTTTCAGCACTGGAAAGCCCATCTAACATATATCTAATCAGCTACAGCCTCAGTGAACATCATGGTTTTTTTTGTTTGTTTTTGGCCTGAATTATAGCAATTGATCTTGATAACGTTGTTATTCTTCTGATCAGAAGTTCTGCTCAACAGTCATGTATGACTTTGGTTCTTTAATTTGGAAAATAAACCATTATTAAGGGCAATTTGTTTGGCACACACTGTAATGCAAAACATCAGCTTCTGGGGAGGAAAACATGTCTGACGAGAAGGGTGCAAACTAAGGGGTTGGCCCACGGGGATGTCTGTGAGCGTCACACCCAGCAGGTGGCAGCAGAGAGCGCGTGCCCTGGGCAGTGTCGGGGGCTGCATCCACTCACTGTCCCTAAGGAAAGATTCATGACGAAAAGCTTCTCTCTGCAAAAGCCAGCTGATGAATGAAGTAAGAATAGAATGAGAATGTCACTATTTTGCAAACACCCAGCGGACTCATGATCTAGCCCAGTGATGGCGAACCTTTTGAGCTCGGCGTGTCAGCATTTTGAAAAACCCTAACTTAACTCTGGTGCCGTGTCACATATAGAAATTTTTTGATATTTGCAACCATAGTAAAACAAAGACTTATATTTTTGATATTTATTTTATATATTTAAATGCCATTTAACAAAGAAAAATCAACCAAAAAAATGAGTTCGCGTGTCACCTCTGACACGCGTGTCACAGGTTCGCCATCACTGCACTAAGGTCTCAGTGAGGCACAGGAATGGAGTCGCCGAGGGAGATGGAGAGGCTCTGAAAGGGAGGCAGGAGAAAGGTCAGTCGCATGGAAGACGGTCCAGGAAAGAAAGTCGTGTCTGAGACAACAGGGAAGATCTGGAGAAGAGTGAAGGCTGCCACCGAAAAGGAAACTGGGGGGGGCTCACAACCTAGTTCAGTGTCTGGTTAAAACTGTAGTCTTACTTCCCCACTCTGACTGGCTCGGCCGGAGGTGCAGAGCCTAACCCCAGGGCCCCGCCACAGCTGACTTGGGCGGGGCTGCGGGGACCCTCAGGGGCCACAGGAGAAGATATGCAGCCGTGGGCAAACTACGGCCCGAGGGCTGGATCCGCCCGTTTGAAATGAATAAAACTAAAAAAAAAAAAGACCGTACCCTTTTATGTAATGATGTTTACGTTGAATGTATATTAGTTCACACAAACACTCCATCCATGCTTTTGTTCCGGCCCTCCGGTCCAGTTTAAGAACCCATTGTGGCCCTCGAGTCAAAAAGTTTGCCCACCCCTGGGTCAGAGCCTCCCCACGAGTGCAGTTCAGGCTTTGGATCCGGAATCCCTGGACTAGCAGATCCGAGAAATAAAGGTTAAACTTTCCTCCTCAGAGCTGGCTGATGGTTCTCCCGTGCATCCTGCCACAACACCATCTTCTCCACGTTTCCTTGGCTGCGTCTGGTTGAGAGATTGGGCATCAGGGCGCCCTGGTCCTAGGTCACGAGGTCCAGCAGCAACGCAGCCTTGGATAGTAAGCCTGAGGATGTCAGCATCTCCTTCTACGTGATAAGAACAAAAATGTCCTAAAGGGAGTTTCTGCTTATTTGGGTTTTTTGTGCCTAAGGGTTAAAATAGTGATTAACTATCAGTCCAAGGTGGGGACTAGTGTGCATGTGAGGGGATCTTTGAAAGAAGCATAAAGCTGAGATGATTGATAAGATGGAGAAAACTAGAGTTCTCTCTGCAAAAGTATATCTAAGTACGGCATCATTCTCCTAAGTCTCCCTAGTTCTGCCCCTGTGATCACTCCCTCACTCACTCACTCACTCATTCATTCACTCACTCATTCTTTCAAAAACCATGCAGTGAGCATGCACAGTGCTCCAGGTACTGTTCTAGATTCAGGAGGTCCAGTAATGAACGAAATCCCCCACTCATGTAGCTCACATTCAAACTGGGGAGACAGATAAGCAATATATGTCAGTAAAAATACGATAGATTAGAAAGTGATCAATGATACAGAAAAAATGTTGGGCAGGGAATACAAATGGTCAGGCAGAGGGTGGCATTCTGGAGGCAGGAGGGAGAGGTCTCACCGAGAGGTAGACTGGGCGTGAAGACCTGAAGGAGGTGAGGGTGGGCCCTCTGTGGTCTGTGTTTGGTGGGCGATGGGCATCCCAGCAAGAAACCACACGGCCAGTGCCCAGGAAGGAGCATGCGGGGTATTTGAGGGGCAAGAGGGGGCCAGTGTGGCTGTAGCAAAGGGAATCGGGGTGGGGGGGGGGGTGAAGACATTCTACACTAGATTTAAGTCGCATCAAGAGAGTCATAAATTTAACAGAAGAAAGAACTTTCTGGGCATTAAGATTATAAAACAGTAACACGTTACCCAGAGAGATGGCGGATCCTACTTTAGGATTCATAAGAAAGAAGTAAAGTCTGTTTTTTCCCATCATTCCGTGATAATTTATGCAGTTCTGCTTGGATGGCCTCCAGGGCTCTCCGGGCCGTTGTGGGCCAGTGACTGCTGGTCACACCGTGTGGTTCTTCTCAGGGATGCAGGGCGGCGGGCGTGGTGGACACCCGCTGTGCCCCTGGTGGGCAGAGCCTGCAGCCGGCAGGTGGCTTTCGGGTCATCGCAGAGCCGGTCCCGCCTGCTCTCCGGGCCCGTCCTCACTCCGCGCGCTGCCTCCCACGGCGCCGGAGCCTTCGGCGCTTTGATCCCTGACCACCCACCCGCCTCCCGGCCATCGGCGTCCACGTCCTCCGCGGTGCCAGGCCCTGCGGGGCGGCTCGTCACTCACATCCCCACTCGGCTCCGCTGGCCTCAGTGGCCACACTGGCCTTTCCTCCCGTGGGCGCTGGTCCCGCAGCTGCGGGCGCGGCTTCTCGGCTCCCCTCCCCTCTCGGTCACCGGGAGGGACCACGCTGGGCCCAGTTGCCTTGGCAACGAGAACAAAAATGAAAACGCGTCTGTCCCAGTGAAGAGACTGGACTGACTCGCACACCGTGTGTGTTTCTCGGCAGATCCCGGAGGGAGGAGAGTAACGTGGGGCATCGGGCGGGTCGGGCCTGGCTGCGGGGACACCAGGTCCAGCCCCGGCGGGAGGCCGGTCCGGTTTCCGGTGAAGGCGCGGCGGGTGCTGCGGGGAAGCCGCTCCGCCGCGGAGCCGCCGCCGGGCTCTGGGCGTGTTCACAGCCGACACCTCGCCGGTTCGAGACCTGCCGACGGCGGGGACGGAGGAGCAGAAAGGGCTCCGACAGAAGCCGAGGAAGCCGGGCGGCTGTGGCTCCTGAGAAATGAGACCCAGCCACACAGAGAGTCGCCGGAAGCCGCCCCCGCCCGCCCCCACCCCGCACCTAGCAGCCCCCTCTAGACCCGCCGGCTGCCCCGGGCCCCGCCCGACCTCTGTCCCAGCGGAGCCTCCCTACCCCGAGGTCCGGGCCTCCCGCCGCCGTCCCCGTTCGGCTCCGGGCGCCCAGCACGGCCCCCTCGGCTCCCGCCTCCGGCTGCGCCCCCACCCGGCCCGCCCTCCACGGGGCCTCTTAGTCCTCACCCGAGGACATGGCTTCTCCACTGGTTTTTATGGAGAGAGGGAGGGAGGGAGAGACATCCTGTGAGAGACGCCACACCCCGCGCCCAACCGGAACCGAACCCCGAACCCAGGGCCGCGCTCTAACCACTGAGCGCACAGCTCGGGCCGCAGGACTTTCTCCGGGACCTGCTGCCGGTCTCACGGCCCAGCTCCATTTATTATTTCACGCACATTTTTCTAACGATCCGAGGAGACATGTTTATCCGACAAAATTGATCGTTGGGTTTGGGTCTCTTCCTGCGCCTCCGATTCTGTTCCATTAATTGATCGATTCGGCCCGGCCGGTGTGGCTCAGTGGGAGCGTCCATCCCGTCAGGCACCGGCCGCGCTGTGGGTCCGACCCCCGGGCGGGGCCTGAGGAGGCGGCCGCTCGGTGACGCCCCCTCCCCCTTCCTCTTTGAAACCAATGAAAACATTTGTTTAAAAAGTAAGATTTTGTAACCACGTATTTTTCAGTTCTTTGCTGACCAGGAACAGAGGTTTGTAAACGCACCATAAACGTTCCGCTCCGTCAGAAACGACTGATGACTGTCGGGCGCGGACCCAGGGAATGAAACAAACTCCATGTTCCAGGAGCATTTACTCCGACCGGCCGTCACCGGCCGCGTCACCGGCGCCTGCGCGCGACGCTCCGAGGAGATGGCGGCGCGCGGCCTCCCCACCCCCGCGCACCGGCACGTGGGCCGCGGCGACTTCCGCGACGTGTACGCGCCCGCGGAGGACACCTTCCTGCTCCTGGACGCGCTGGAGGCGGCGGCGGCCGAGCTCACGCGGTGCGAGTGGGCGGGTCCCCGTGGGCCCGCGATGGGCGTCCCGGCGGCGGCCCGGGTCCCGGAAGGGCCGGAGGCGCGGTCGGCCGGGCAGGTGACCCCGGAAGCCGTCACCGCGCTCCCCGGAAGCAGGAGCGAGGGCGCCGGGGTCCGGGTGTCGGTACCGGAGCTGCGAGCGCTCCGCGCGGCCTTTCCGGGCGGCCTTTCCGCACCGGCCCCGCCAAACTCGCTCCCCCGCGGCTCAGCCACGCGACCGGGAAGCGGGGCGGCGCCGCCGACTTACCCGGAAGCCCCGCGGCCCCGGGGCCCAAACAGGAAGTGAGGTTGAGGGACCCGGATGGGAGGCGTTTGGGGGGTGTTTTGTGTTAATTCTCACTGGGGGACATTTTCCCATTGAATTTTAGAGAGAGAGGGAGGGAGGGAGAGAGGAAAGAGAGAGGGAGCGGGAGAGCGCGCTCAGTCCGTCGCCTCCCACGGGCGCCCCAGGGTCGGGCCCTGGACGGAGATGACCCCTGAC